GCTTCCAACGTTCGCGATCCTGGCCACAGTCTGAGCTTCGGCAGAAAACAACTGGAGTCTGGAAAAGACTCCTTCCATATATTTGCACCGGGTTAATCATGACCGGCCCCTGGGCCTTCTTCCGGTTGATTTGGCAAGAAACATTTGCTTAGCCTTCCTTTCCAGAGGCATTGGCAACATATACCCAAAACTTCAGCAGAAGCTGTATTCCAGACCATTTCGAGTCGCGTAAGACCAGCAAATTATCTCAGAAAGCCCATAAAAGACAACCTACATAACGAAATCTACAGTGGCTTTCATACTGTTACATTTGATGGGCAGGAAAACGAATTTTGATCATGGGGACATTATTGCTGCCCTTTCTTTCATAAAGTTAAGTGGGCGGCTATCATCTATATTTGCGAGTCATCAATCAGGAGTGTCCTGTTTTAAAGACAAAGTCTACAGAAGCAATCTGACAAGCATAACTTACATTCTCATCGTTGCTGCCAACAAAATGGAACTCATTTATCAACGTCAAAAGAACAAAACGCGAGTGATTCGAACGGGACTCGAACCTGAGTTACATGCTGTACCGACTAAACAACCCCGATCTAGATATACGATACAACTGATAATATTTTGACCAATCTACGTTAATTTTCGACAACGTCTATAAATATTACCGATATCTAGCGTTTTGCCTTGCTTCGGATTGGCATGAAGCTTGTTGTAGACGATCGTCACGCTGTCCTTACAACCCTGGATCATGCGAGCGACTTCCGTGCGACTCTTTCCCTTGACCGGCTGCCGGTTGATGCGCAAGATTTCGTCGCCCGGCTCGAGACTGCCATCGACAGCTGCCGGTGTGCCGTCAAATATTTGAACGATATAGACACATGGACAAACAGGCGAGCCACCACCGATGCTGATTCCGATCAGGTTGTTCTCGTCCTTGGTCAACGTGACGGATGCCGAAGATACAGTCATACCACTAAAATAAAAGCAGCGTGTAACCAGCCACACACACCACTACAACTACAACCGCGGCCTCAACTTACAGCTTGTCTTCGTCGTAGAGATAATCCGGTTCGTCGTCGTCCATCTTGCCGTCAATCACCGCCACCGGATCAAAGCTGAAAAACGCACCAGCGATCAATGCACGGTTTCGTTGACGGAGCAGACAGGT